GTATGGGTTTTTATTTAGAACTTCTGAGTCATCCATTTTCCTCAGCTTCCCTATCTCTATATTTACAGGTTGATGAAGCTTCATATGCCTTTGTCCTAGTTCTTTCTGAGCCCATGACTATTAGGAGGGTTGTGCAACTTGGATCTGTCTAAAGAACCATGGGGGAAAATGACAACATTGTATAGTTACACTGTTCAAGGAACTACCTTATGATGTTTAAGAACATTCTCATTGACATAGTCTAACTTATTTTCCTAAGTAAAATTCATATTTGACATTTGAAAGCTATTTTAAGCTGTATTAGCATAGCTGGTAGAAGTTTCTAGACTTCTTATTTATCTTATACTGCTAAATTCTAATTAATGCCATATTGTACTTCTAAAAGCGAACTTAAACTGCAGGAGAAGCACTGAGCTTTACAACACCCCCTCATACACACACACTCACTCACACACACACACACACACACACACAGAAAGAGAAAGAGAGAAAATCATAACAAATTAGAAAGAGTTTGGGAATGGACCTTGGAGACTTAGTTTATCACTAGAGCTCTGCTGCTAATTTCTATATAATCTTGAGCAAGTTACCAAACCTCTTAGGTGTCATTTCTTCATTTTACAATAGGGATATGGACTTTGGAAGCCTCATGAACCAAATCTACTCACTTGGGTGTTATACCTTTATACCATGAAGTTTGAACCCATGGGCCTTTGATTCTACAGCTTACACTGATCACTTAAAAACAACTCAGATTTACTGCTACTGCTGTTATCACTTTAAAGTTATTTTAATTGTTATTTTATCACCAAGACAATTCAATCAATATAGAAAAAAATAAAGTCAGAAAAACAGCAGTTTCCCATCTCCCCATTCCCATGGATGATTTAGTACATATATTTATAACCAGTAGAAGAATGAGAACACAAATCAGAACCAACAGTTGTACTGCAACATGAGGACAATTGCCAATTTGAACAAAGGCTGAGAACCAGCCACACTGTTGTTTAGGGTAGAATAGGCTGTGTTTTTACATGAATGTATAATATCTATGTCAGCAGTATTGGCTGAGCTCATTAGCTCTCCAGTTGGTTTATTGATTGGGTTTCTTTGTTTGTTTATTAAAAAATGGAACTGTACTCTTGTTTGGTGCTAATAAAATATGTTGGGGCTTCCTTTTTCAAATTAAGTGTGCATGATTGTATATGGAACAAATACTAAGATCCCAGAGCGGGAGGGCTAGGGAAAGGGATAAGGAGTTCTTACTTGACTTGAATGTGCACCTGAGGGTGCTTTGTGTAATACATTGTACACTACAGCATCTTATATTTTTTTGAGTTGAGTTTCAATAAATTACAATTTTTAACCCATTAAAAAAAAAAACAATTGTAAATAGCCAGCATAGCCAGACTGGGCTGGACTGCCTGATTACTTGCAGGGTCGCCTCCCCTGGGTAACATGGTTAGCTCTCTGGAAATGCCTTCCTGGATTTTCTTTTTAAAAATATTTTTTAAAACACTTAAAATAAATGTTTTTTAAAATATTTTTAAAAACATTTTATTTATTTATTCATGAGAGACACAGAGAAAGGTGGAGACATAGGCAGAGGGAGAAGCACGCTCCCTGGAGGGAGCCTGATGTGGGACTCAATTCCAGGATCATGATCTGAGCCAAAGGCAGACACTCAACCAATGAGCCAGGTGCCTTACTTTCCTGGATTTTCAATGCAGATACACATTTATATACCCATGCACAGGCACATAAATCTATATACATACACATAGTGGGGTTTTTTAAGTAAAATATGAAAACATATTAATTATACAACTCAAAGACTCCAATTTCATTGTGGACATCTTTAATATCAGCATCCACAGATCCACCTGAATCCACAGATTCATTTCAGTATCTGAAGATATTCATAGTTTATCTAGCCATCTCCTGATGACAACATTTAGGTTGTCTTCAATTAATATGTTAAATTGTAAAAAGACAACAAGCTTGGAATTTAAGAATTGTAAACTATTGTTTATAAGAACTGGTTTTCAGAAGTAAGGAGGGTACTTGCCTAAATGAGGCAAAAACACTGCCTTGTTCTTAGGCATAACCACCTAAAATTCCCTTCAAGAAATGACAGAACATAAAGACTTCTAACTCTGGGAAATGAACTAGGGGTGGTGGAAGGGGAGGAGGGCGGGGGGTGGGGGTGAATGGGTGACGGGCACGGAGGGGGACACTTGTCGGGATGAGCACTGGGTGTTATTCTGTATGTTGGTAAATTGAACACCAATAAAAATTAATTTATTAAAAAAAATAAATAAAAGGTGACAAGGATTAAAAAAAAAAAAGAAATGTCTGGTGATTAGCAAGTGAGAAGTGACCTCGGGACCCTCAGGGAGAGACCCACTCAGAGAGGAGAGGTCTTGTAGTAATTAGCAAAGTGTACGAATGAATTAGTCTCCGATGTCCTTATCACCATCCCTCTTGCTTAGGGCTTTTGTGCTGCCCCTTAGTCTCCCAGAATGCCCAGTTTGGGGCTGAGACCAGAGCTGCCCTTTCCAAGGTAAGACCTCACACATTGGAGAAAAAGCACAGAATGGGGAAACGGAGCCTGGGTGTGGGGCCTGGGAAGGTGGAGCAACACATTAGCCTATTGCCACTTTTTACCAAGTCTCTCTGAATCTTCTTTCCACTCTCCATCCTCTATTGTCTTCCCATCATAGTCTTAACTATCATGGTAGAAGACCTTCACATTTGCAAAAAGATGTCAGTTTTTGGAAAATATGCTTCAGAGGAAAGGAGTAACTATTCCTTACATGCCTTTGGTCAGAATCTAAATCCTTTCACCATCTCTACTCCCAGAAACCTGTTTTTCGTGGCTTTTGCTCCTGCTCCCCCATTCCATATAATACAATGGGTTAATTCCCACAAAGACATTAATTGCTAGTGACCACTCATTTTCTTGCCTCCCTCCCTCCAGGTTCTTGATCTTAAGACTCACCGGTGGTGCTTGTTAAACAATACATCCACTTGAGACCCTCCTGTGGAGAGCCTGATTCCACAACTTTTTTCCTGGGTAAGACCCGGGAATTTGTGCTGTTAATGAGAGCCCCATGTAACCTTCTAATCAAGGAAGTTGAGGAAGTACTACTCTATAACCTACAATTGTATTTCAGACACCTGTAACAGGCACTGGTGGTTACTCCTAAAGTTACACCAAAAAGAACACATAAATCAATAATTGCAAATGCGACCTCACAACTTTACACAGAATTTGAACACTAATCACCTATTATAAAACACAGGCTGCAGTCATCTAGGTGTCTCAAATTGCAATGAGAAAACATATGTTAATTGGGTCTTAGAAAATCTGAGTTCTCAGAGCACCTGGGTGGCTCAGGTCATGATCCTGGGATCCTGGAATCAAGTCCTGCATCAGGCTCCCTGCACAGAGTCTGCTTCTCCCTCTGCCTATGTCCCTGCCTGTCTTTCATGAATAAATAAAATCTTTTAAAGAAAAGAAAAGAAAATCTAAATGCTCAACATGGCTCTGACACTCAGTTGTCAACAGGTTGGGCTAATTGTTTTGCCTTAGTTTCCCCATGTGTAAATTCCCAACTGGTACACAATATGACATTCTTAGTTAGATCACTACTTTTTTGACCCAGAATTTCTACCTCCAGGAATTCATCCCAAGGGTTAACCAGGGAAATATACAAGAATGTCCATCATATCATGGTTTATGATTATGAAAAATAGGAAGCTGTTGTAATGTCCATCATTAGGAACAGTTAAACTCTGATTTATCTAGACATTGAATACTATGCAACCTTAAAAATGGTAATGGAGATCTTTATGTTTGATACAGAAAATGTCCGTAACATGTAAAATAGTAAAAGCGGGTCAGGAAACATAACTTAAACTTTAGTCCCAAGTTGTTGGTTTTAAGTGTGTGTAGTATTTGTATAAAAAGTCCATAATGGGGATCCCTGGGTGGCACAGCGGTTTGGCGCCTGCCTTTGGCCCAGGGCGCGATCCTGGAGACCCGGGATCGAATCCCACATCGGGCTCCTGGTGCATGGAGCCTGCTTCTCCCTCTGCCTATGTCTCTGCCTCTCTCTCTCTCTCTCTCTCTGACTATCATAAATAAATAAAAAATTAAAAAAAAAGTCCATAATGTGGGACGCCTGGGTGCCTCAGCAGTTGAGCATCTGTCTTTGGCTCAGGGCATGATCCCAGAATCCAGGATTGAGCCCCCACCAGGCTCCCTGTGAGGAGCCTGCTTCTCCCTCTCCCTATGTCTCTGCCTCTTTCTGTGTCTCTCATGAATCAATAAATAAAATCTCTTTTCAAAAAGTTCATAAAGTTACATATCTAAATATTAGCAGTGGCAAACAACATTGCAGGTGACTTTTTCCTTTTCTTTATATCTTTCTATAAGTGTCTGCAGTAAACTTAAACTTCTATACTTGGGGGAAATAATATAGCATCCATTTTTTGTAACAGTACTTCATGCACATTGCCAGGGTAATGCCCGCAATAGCCAGGAGGCTAGGGGCTACTTAAAGGAAAGGTCTGTTACTTTAATATGGTGTGAACAAGAGATGTTCTTTTCTCAAACTCTACCACTTTCTTTCACTCTATGTTGGAGTTGTAATATTTTGCCCAAAGTAACTAATTTTGCCTAGAGTTATGAAGAAAACATTAATTCATTCACCTGGAGCCAATTTCAGGGAACTCTAGTTTCATGGCAGGCCTGCAGAGCACCTAGTAGAATAACCGAAATGCAAGTGTCAGAAAAGGCAGAACTATGCTTCCTTCAGGCCTTCCGGAAATCCTCTCCTGTCCCAAATCCCTCCCTCTCAGCTGGGAGGGCTGAAGAAGGCTCAGGTGTCTCCAGTGGGAAGAGGGTGGGGCCACACCCCGTTTTCTGCTATAAAAAAAAAAAAGCATAGCGGCATCTACCCACCTACCTGGCTGATTTGGTGGTACGTTTGGCCATGGCATGCAAACAGAAAGGAGATGGTGGGAGTCCCTCAAGCTGGTTTAGTGCAGATTGGAGGTGAGTAATCTTGGCAGCAGAGGGAGGGGACACAATGGCCTTATCTGCTGAAATTCATTCCTTCTTAACTCTCCCCAATCCCTTTTCAGCACCTACAGGTCACTTTCTTTATTCTTCATCCTTGTGACTTCAGTGAACTCAGTAGGTGTTATGCAGTTGGTGAATCCCATCTTCCCAGGTATGCCTGTTGGGTGGGGGAAATGCCCTTAGCCTCTCTTAAACAGGTTGCAACTACAGAGCCAGAAAACCTAATCATGGCTTAGACAATATCCACTCACCCTTTCTTAACTTGATCAAGTCACTAGATTTTTCCATTGCTTACCTATGGCTTGCTATGCTGGCTAAACAGAAGATCTTGTGAAACACCTGTACTACTTTCTACTCCCTCATTGCCTCAAGCTCTGTGGTATCCAAAGACCAGCAAAACACAATGCTAAGTGCCCATCTTCAGGAACAGATATTTTCAAACACAAACCCATGCTTAAGGAAAGCATCAACATAATAGACAAAAATTGGAGCTGTTCCTCTTAGAATTTTTCAAACTTTCACCTGAGCAAGAGGATGTAGAGTAGCAGATCATAGGCAGAATTTAGCCTTTAAAAAGCATCCTTGAGCTTATGTAGGGCACTTTTTTGAAGTTTATTTAAGTAATCTCTACATTCAATGTGGAGTTTGAACTCCTAGCCCTAAAATCAAGAGCCTCACAGGCTCTTCTGACTGAGCCAGCCAGGTGACCCATGTAGGACGTTTTTAAAACTTCAAGATGGAAAGTCTTTAGACACAACATTTGTTCTCCAGTTCTTTACAGACCTATCATCTCCACCTCCATTAGCCTCACCGTCAAGGTTCTAGTCATATAAGTATGCATGGTTAACCCTATTTTAGGCTTAACTCTGGAAAACTTCAGAAAGCTCCAGGCATTTAATTAATACCTTCCTTATAGTATTTTGCATTGTAGTGATCTTTCTCACGAACCTGTGAGCTACTTGAGAATAGGGGTCAAGGTTTGCCTCTCTCAACTGTTGTTCCTTGATGCCTGTTGGAGAGGAGATGCACCCATACACTTTTTTAGGAATCCTGCCTCCTATGGTTCAAAGATACTCCCAAATGCTTTCTTTGCTCTCCAGGTACTGTCATTTGCCATGAAAATAGAATGACAGTGGAATTTCCAAGTGATCTTGGCACCAAAAAATGGCATGCATCTGTGGTGGGTAAGTAATATGTATATTCTTAATCTTGCCTCAAAGCTAGCCCCATTTTTCAGGTGCCACATACTCTGGAACAACTGGCATCCAATTCCCATGATACCACAGGGGTCCCTGATTTGCATGATGTCACCAGGAGTGGGAGACCTTGTTTCCTTAAAAACTCGTCTTCTCTCAGAATCAATGGGAAATTTTTATTTATTTTTTTAATAATAAACTTATCTTTTATTGGTGTTCAATTTGCCAACATACAGAATAACACCCAGTGCTCATCCCATCAAGTGCCCCCCTCAGTGCCGGCCACCGATTCACCCCCACCCCCGCCCTCCTCCCCTTCCACCACCCCTAATTCATTTCCCAGAGTTAGGAGTCTTCATGTTCTGTCTCCCTTTCTGATATTTCCTACCCATTTCTTCTCCAATGGGAAATTTTTAGCTGCAAATTACAGCATCTCTCAAAACTTGGGTCATAACATCCAGATGGGACAATAAAAAACAAAGTGATTTGAAGTAGCTTAGAAATGGATTGGCAGTCTTGACTATGTTGCTTTGGTTTACTTTGTCACTGAAACGTACTTTTTGGCCATCTTCTCTGGCTTCTGTAGATCCATTTAGTTTTGAATTGTTGAACTGTACTTCTATCCTGGACCCAGAAAAGCTCACCCTGAAGGCCCCATATGAGACCTGTAGCAGGAGAGTGGTAAGTATTTGCTCTGAGGAGTGATTTGGGAAGTAATAACCTAGTAGTTACTACTAGTAACCCTACTACTTAAGGATACAGACCTGAGAGGAGAGCATTTATTCTCAACCAGGGGTGGTGAGTGTTCATGGTGGTGATGGTTGGTTGGTTTTTATCTTTTGTTTTTGTTTTGTCTGCCCAGACGATATTTGGTACTGTTTGGAAACACTTTGAAGACCTTATTGGCTGTCACAATTGGAGTGGGGGGTTGTCTGTACAAGCTGAGGTTGCTGATAAACAGCCTACATTGCACAGGGTGGTCTCCTTTAATAGGAATTTCAGGCCTGAAAAGCCAGTAATACTGAGGTTGAGAAACCCTGAACTTGGGGCCTTGCTGTGAGTCCCAGCTTTGCCACTATCTAGTTGTGATCTCTAGCAAGTGAGCTAACCTTTCTAAGCTTTTGCTTGTTCATTGGAATAGGGAAATCATGGTACTCTCTCCACAAGGTATCTAAAGATGAATGATATGATGCAGATGAACTTGGCACAGCACCAAGATACAACAAATGCTCAAAACAAGCTATTTTGATCTGTAACCTCCATGGAAAATGCAAGGCTATTTTGGTGCTGGCAAACAGAACTGCTATGCTATAAAAACAGGTGTGGGAAAGCAAGCAGCAGCTGAGCAATAGGGTTTTCTCTATTGCCAAGCAACAGTACTGCCTAATCAGAGTTATTGGGACCAGTAAAAGAAACCTCTCAAACGGTTCTCGAGCTTGTAGTAGGCAAAGAACCACTTGGGGAATTGAGAAAGTATAGATGTGGTTCATTTAATTGATTTAAGTCTGGGGTATATCTTAGAAATCTGCATATGTAACTGGCCACTTGATCGAATTCCACAGTGAAGAACTTCAGTAATTTTTCCTTTCTGAAATAGCCCTTCCCAACTTGTAGAGCTTAGAGTTGCTTTCCTTTAAACCAAAGGCCTACAAACTATAACTTATGGATGGCCACATTTAGTCCATAGTGTGCATAAGCATAATGGTCCTTGAGCTAAGAATGGTTAAAGTTTTTTTTTTGTTTTGTTTTAGGACTTAAAAAGAAAACAACATGTGCTAGAAATCATAAATGGCCTAAAAAGCCTAAAATACTTACTAATACTTTATAGAAAAAGGGTGACTGTTCCTTACTAGAAACGGTTCTCTAAACCAGGGTAAATACTGGCTTTGCCAAAAAACCTGGCTCTGTCCAGCCCCCAGAATAATGGCTGCCACATAAGTTACATAAGTGCTCAGTGCATGTTTGACTGACTTGGGCAGAGGCCCCAGATTAGCCAGAACCATGATATTCAGACAAAGGTAAGTGTCAAGAAGAACTCAAAAATAAAACCCTAATTCCTGAAGCTCAAGCAACTATTTGCTGCGAAGACAGGAGTCTTTACTGGGATATCTAAAAGGGTTAGCTATAGAGTCTCTTGGTATAAGAATCAGGTACCTTTCAGAAACTGTGGTACTGGTAACCTCAAGAGGTTTGCCCCTCAGTTAGGTCCAATGGTATTCTGGGATCACCTTTCCCATGGAGGTCCCCGTACTTACTGTTCTTACTATGCCATTTGCACTCAGCTTGGCCAGCATCAGATGGCCATCAGACTCACGGACAACAATGCTGCTTCAAGAAATAAGGCTTTCACGTATCAGATCAGCTGTCCAGTTATGCAAGCAGAAGAAACCCATGAGCATGCAGGATCCACAATCTGCACAAAAGACTCCATGTCTGTGAGTGAAGCAGGCTAACTGCTTCTCATGGTGACTACAGGGGAAATGAGGTGGTTTACACAGCTGGGGTTAGGAACAGGATCAGGATTGCAATCCTATCTTCACTACGAATTTGTTTGATTTTTTTTGGGGGGGGTGGTGGTGGTGGTGATTTCTTAACCACACTGAGCCTTATTTCCAAGCCCAAAGTAGGGGACAATGATACCACATTAGGGTGGTGCTGAGAATTAACTGAGAGGGTATATATAGTGCTCAACACATCATACCTGGCAGTAGAAAGGATTCCGTTGGTAACTGCAATCACATTAATAATCATTTGAACAAACTGAGTACTTATCATGTCCCAGGCTCTATGCCAGATAGGATATAGTACAAAAGCAAAACAGCCCAATTACATACTCATGGATATTTTTACTCTAACATAACTAAAATTGACAATGGACAAAATACCTTCATACTTTGTTCTAATAATGGTAAAACTGCATGGTTTGACCTAATTCTTGACTTCTATGGACAAAGCTTAAAATGTACACCTAAGAATCCAATGTCTCAAAATTGGAAGGAAGCTTAGATCTTCCAGTTTCCTTTTGGCATCAGAAGTTCAGAGATGAAATTGTCTAAGGGCACAGCTAGTTTTTATGACTGGGCCTGTGCCTCTTATTCCCCACAATCAGACCTCTTGGCATACGAAATACACAGTAGTTGCTCCAGATGTTTTGCACATACTGTCAGGTAGCATGATCTCAGAAACTTTCTTTTCCAAATCAAAGCCTCACATCATGGTTTCGTTTCTTCCAGTTTACCTTTAACATTATTCCTGGCATGGCTGATGAAAATACGGTATGGAAATAACTTTTTCAATTACAGAGCTAAGTAACCTTTTGTTCTATAGTAAAGGTGACTTAACTTCAACCCTGATTAAAATAGACAAATAGTCTTGAGGTTAAGGTGAGCACTAGCCTTCTAAATGAAACTTCTGTCTTCAGAATCCCATTGGTGGGAAATGGATGATGGAGGTGGATGATGCAAAAGCTCAAAATCTGACTCTTCGGGAGGCCTTGATGCAAGGATATAATTTCCTGTTTGATAGCCACAGGCTCAGTGTCCAAGTGTCATTCAATGCCACTGGAGTCACTCACTACATGGTAGGTGTGAATCTTCTTTTACTACCACCCAAGCACAGACCAATATTTCTAAGTCCAAGTGTGATCTCAACCAGGTCCTCAAAATTGAGAATAAAATGGATTTAAGAGTATCTTAATGCCTTCCATGTGCTAAGCACTGCACTGAGGACTAAAGATATAAGGGTGAACAAAACAGATCTGTTCTTCCCATAGATGTAGACTGACTCTATAATGTGATAGAGGGTAGTACTAAAATCTTCTAGGAGTCAAGATGCTCTGGCTTATTTTCCTGTAATACGATTCTACTGTAGGATTTGGCACTTTTGGAGTCAACAATCAAGACACTAAGTTAAAGGAGTTACTGTGCCAAAGTACTTTGAACAGGTCCTGGCACCTAGGCAAGCACTTAAATGCCAACCATTTTAACAAGAACAGCCCTGTTAAACATGGAATATAAATGGAGTGCAGAGTCCTATAAGCATTTTCTCTGAATACTATTACCATAAAAATCAGCTTTTGCTCACCTATGCCTAGAAATCACCTATAGGTTCTAATAGACCATACTAAATTGCCAGATGTTATGAAATACAACATTCTAAAACTAAAACACCTGATGAGCATTCACTGGACAAAATGCTTAAATTCTACACCAGCCAAAATAGTGCCCAATACTTGAGTGTTTGCCCTGATGATTCTTTTAGCATTGGTTAGAGATTCAAGTAAACCGATGTCTTTCAAAAAATGTTTCTCTCCCTACCTACCCCAACCCTCAGCAAGGTAACAGTCACCTCTACACAGTGCCTCTGAAGCTTATACACACATCTCCTGGGCAGAAGATCATCTTAACAACACGAGTAATTTGTATGTCAGGTAAGGTCCTAGGAAAGGGCAACTGCTGTTGTGGAAGACACTATTATGGAAGCTTAAAGCTGATCTCGGGCATTGTGTTGGCCACTCCCTCTAGATCCCATGACCTGTAATGCCACACACATGACCCTCACCATACCAGAGTTTCCTGGGAAACTACAGTCTGTGAGATTTGAAAACAGGAACTTTGCTGTAAGCCAACTGCACAACCATGGGATTGATAAAGAAGAATTAAATGGCTTGAGATTACACTTCAGCAAATCTCTTCTCAAAATGAACGTACGTTCCTATCATGAACCACTGAGATTTATGGAAGCAGGACTTGAAGCCCAGTCTCTCGGTAACCCTGATATAGCTGATGACTTGTCCATAAATTCTAACTGTCCATATAATGGATTCAAACTCTGGAAGGAAGGCCTCATTTGATCACTTTGCCTAAGTGAATTCTCAAGTAACTGAAATTTACCCTCAAACACCAAGCCTCTTTAAACCACTGCAAGAGGTTTTTGTGTGTGTGTTTTGGTTTTGGTTTTCCCTCAGCTCATTGAATTGCTTTTAAGTTGCTAATGATGACCCTCTGACACCCTTTTAAAAACAGGACAGTTTGATCCAAACAAGTGTCCTCAACTGTTCCCACTGAGGCCAGTCTTGACTGAAGCAATTGCCAGGGACACCAGAGAGTAATCTTATGTCAGAGTATGTGTGTTTTGCAATAACATCTGACAACATTTGTAGAGTCCTTTTTACTCAGACCTGGCTTGGCAGAGCACTCAGCTCTTTGGAATTTGATCTGTTAATTCAGGCTTTAGTGTCTAGTACAAAGAGCATGCAGAGCTGGGTATTTCAGGGCATGAGTTTAAAGCAATAAATTTCCTGCCTAGGAAAGCATCCTGATCTGGAGCAAGTGATAGGCTCTCTCTTGTTCTGGTTTAAAGGGAAACCAGATTAATTCTGGAGTGTGCCCTACAGGTATTCAGTGTACTTCCTGCCTGCCTCACTGTGGACTGTTCTGGGCCCCAATGGCTGTGGCTGCTAATTGACATTCTTGTCTCCTTTCAGTCCTCTGAAAAATGCCTACCCTATCAGTTCTACTTAGCATCACTCAAGCTGACCTTTGCCTTTGAACGGGACACGGTTTCCACAGTGGTTTATCCTGAGTGTGTTTGTGAGCCACCAGTTACTATAGGTAAGAAACCTTTTCTCCTTTATCTCTTGTATATGTGGGAAAACATATAGAAGTTCAGACTCTGTATTGTTTATACTTTGAGGAAACTGATCAGAGCAGAAGTCTCGGTGTAGCTGCTATAACAGGGCCACAAGAAGATAATATTTCCAAAATACACATATGGAGAGATCTTACTATAATGAATCCATGTTTAAGTAGTCTGGATATATTCTGCATTATAAGCCTAAGCTCCCCATATAAATAAGATTGGTTCAAATCTGCAACTAGGACTACAAAATTTTAAAAGACTTTTTATGCCTACAGATTTTTTCAAGGATGTGGAGTTAGGTATTTCTTGTTCGATATTGGCTCTGCCCCTATGCTTCTTATTTTCTGACCCATATCCGGTCAAGCTAATGGGAAAAACTAGTTCCTGCATTAATTAACCCCACCTCCACCCCTCATTCCCTTTTCCAAACCACTCAGGATTTGAGCCTTGAAACAAGGGATATATTGACACAAGGCATTACACCTGAACCCATAATCTGACCCTCAACTCACTTGAGCCCCTCAGGGTTTTCTCACAGGTCTCCTCATCAACACATGAAGGTTGGTAGGTCTGCCATATTAGTGGTCATTTATTTCTTTAAACTCTTACCACAATCTAGTTACAGGTGACCTGTGTACCCAGGATGGGTTTATGGATGTCAAGGTCTACAGCCACCAAACAAAACCAGCTCTAAACTTGGATACCCTCAGAGTGGGAGACTCCTCCTGCCAACCTACTTTCAAGGCTCCATCACAAGGGTTGACACTGTTTCACATCCCCCTAAATGGATGTGGAACAAGACTTAAGGTAAGTGCCGGCAGAATGAGAAGCGTTCAGACTAGATTGTAAAACCACTGGTCACCCACTTCTAACCTTTCTCTAATCTTAAGTTCAAAGGTGACACAGTCATCTATGAAAATGAAATACATGCTCTCTGGACAGATCTCCCTCCAAGCACAATTTCCAGAGATAGTGAATTCAGGTGTGATACAACTGCTACTTCGTAAGCTCCACGTTAAATGAAAGCAGTCTTCTAAACTAAAATTCTTCATACTACTTTGCCCCTCCCCTCGTTACAGAATGACTGTGAAGTGCCATTACAGCAGAGATGACCTGCTGATAAATACCAATGTCCAAAGTCTTCCTCCTCCCGTGGCCTCAGTGAGGCCTGGTCCACTTGCCTTAATCCTGCAAACCTACCCAGGTGAGACATCACAACTTAAGAAATCCTACTTAAATACTTTTAGAGAAATCTTTCCTAACTTGAATTTTCTGATGCTGCCACACTAATGGAACAGTAGTGATGCCTTAGCTCCCACTACAACCATCAACCACTTGAGTACTAAGGAGGTTTCCATTCCATTTCAGATAAATCCTATTTGCGACCCTATGGGGATAAGGAATATCCTGTGGTGAGATACCTCCGCCAACCAATTTACCTGGAAGTGAAAGTCCTAAATAGGGCTGACCCCAACATCAAGCTGGTCTTAGATGATTGCTGGGCAACACCCACCATGGACCCAGCCTCACTCCCCCAGTGGAATATTGTCATGGATGGGTAGGTATTCTCTATCCATAAGGTAACTCTCAGTTAATAAAAAATAAGTGAAGGGACACCTGGCTGGCTCAGTTGGTAGAATATGCAACTCTTAATCTCTGGGTTCTGAGTTTGAGCCCCATGTTGGGTGTAGAGATCACTTAAAATCTTTTAAAGATTTATTTATTCATGAGAGACCCACAAAGGCAGAGACATGGACAGAGGGAGAAGCAGGCTCCCCGCAGGGAGTCTGATGCAGGACTCGATTCTGGGATCCCAGGATCATGCCCTGAGCCAAAGGCAGATGCTCAACCACTGAGGTGTCCCCACTTAAAGTCTTTAAAAAGTATTGCCAGTGAAGAGAAGATAAAACGCTCTTGGGTTTCAGAAGAGCACTAGTCACAAAGGCCCTGATCTTTGTGTTCATTAGTAACCAATCCTTGGTCCAATAGCAGGACTCATGCTTTCCTCTTACCCTTGAATCTAAAAGAATCCGATCCTCCCCAAGGATGTCTGGCCCTAAGACTCTTTATGTGGAGAGAAAAGATGTCCAGTTCATATTCTACAATGTTCCAGGCATGGTGCTATATATGCCACATGCATTATTTGAACCTCATCACTCTGTACAAGACAATAGGCACCTGACTTCATGAAGAAACCCAAGCTTGCTGCTTAATAAATTGCCCAAAGTAATTGGTAAATGGTGGCATTTGAATGCCTATCTAACTATGGCCTGCATAACATAATGCTCTGAAGTTGTGACTATATACACTCACAAATTGGTGTTTGTCCTCTAAGCTCTGACTTCAGGGACCTGCACCTGGAAAACCCTATACTATCATCTCCCTTGCTAAGCTCTTAAGCTCCAGGTACATTCCTGTCCCAGGACTACACGTAGTCCCCCCGAACACACAATTTTCTGTATATGTATAGCTACCATCATAGAGATAAAATAGCAGGAGTTATCTACCTTTTGTCACTGACCTTTACTAACTGCCTAGACATAACTGGTACTCACATTAGTAGGAAGAATTAAGCCAGTGTCATCAAGAACTCATATAAAACTTGTAGCTCTTTATAGGTGTAGCTGGCAAACAAATAGGTACTTAAATCCTATAGGTTAGAAAAACTAGCATGTACAACTGATGACTTTTTTTGATAGACCACACCAGAAAGCATACTAATTAAAAGATAAAGGTAGAAGGTAGAACAATTCTGAAGGTGTTTGAATACGTGGCTGTATCTGGGCAAATATGGAGTTAAACTTTGGGGGAAATGTGGCTGATGTTCTTCCCTGGTATATGCCTCCTAGCTGTGAATACAATCTGGACAACTACAGAACCACCTTCCATCCAGTTGGCTCCTCTGTGACCTACCCTACTCACTATCAGAGGTTTGATGTGAAGACCTTTGCCTTTATATCAGAGGCCCAAGTGCTTTCTAGCCTGGTAAGCGATTAAGTCACCTGGGACTGTTTGAATGTGAGTGCATCGGTTCCACTTAACTCTTCTTCTATCTCCAGGTCTACTTCCACTGCACCGCATTAATCTGCAATCGACTGTCTCCTGACTCCCCTCTGTGTTCTGTGACTTGCCCTGTATCATCCAGGCACAGGCGAGGTAAAAATTTCAAGTCCTCCTTACCATGAGTCCTCAAAGCAAGCATTATCCTTTCACAATTGGAAACCTCAAGAATAAGGGCTCTGGGGTGCCTGGCTGACTCAGTCAGGATCTGATTCTTGATCTCAGGGTTGTGGGTTTGAACCCCATGTGTGGTACAGAGTTCACATAAGTTTGTTTGTTTTTTTTCTAAGTGAAGTCTTCACTGGGACTCTTAACTCAATTCCAAGAAACCTTCTCATCCCAGTCTGCCCTAGTCCTATAAGGCTGAAATGGCAAGTTCTTGATCAGATGATGGGCAAGTTTGGTTTTGCACATGGACTGGAGCCTGATCTTTCACAGACGTGACTCTCCAAAGTTACTATTCTAGATTCTAGGTGGACTGAGAAATTAATCTTCAGATATTGTTTCTCCTGCAAAGGTTGGGAAAACCCATATAGAGCAGGGAACTCCATGCCAATGTGCTCTAAGAAGTCCATTGACATACCTTTACTAGTCACTATTCCAGAGGGTCAGACACAACAGTTTTCTATCTCCAGCCACAGACAGTACTGAAGAAGAGAAGATGATAGTAAGTCTCCCGGGACCCATCCTCCTGTTGGCAGACAGCTCTTCACTCAGAGGTATGGTTTTAAAGCCTAGGGCACTTCCTGGACTCAAGTTCTTAGTTTTATGTTAAATTAACTATGCATAAATACATGCTTATGGTAATCCAAAGCAATAAAGACTAAGTCTCTCTTCCTAGCCATACCTTTGTTAACTCTCCTATGTACTTTTCCAAAAATCACCCTTAAAAAAAAATCTCTTAATGCAAGTAGAATTATCATATATCCTACCTACTTATAATTTTTTTAACTTGTTTTAACCACTTTATCTGTTTGGAGAGCTACCTCCCTGCTAACAGCTATATAGAATCCCATCCACGTGGCTCTGTCTCAGCCATGGTCCTCATTCATGGATATCTAGATTACTTCCAGTTTTGTCACTAATGCTGCGATACGATCCTTTTAAATCTTTGCCTACTACACCAATTCAGGATACCCATTTGTTTGTTTGGGGTTTTTTGTTTGTTTTGGTCTTAGCCCAAATTGGAGGGGGCAAGGAGAAAGAATCTCAAGTAGACTTCAGCTGAGCATGGAGCCTAACTTGGGACTCCAAATAGAAGACCCTGAGATTACAGCCTGAGCCAAAATCAAGAGTCGGGTGCTTAACTGACTGTACCACCCAGGCATCCTCAGGATATCTTTCTAGAAGTGAAACTATTAGGTCAGAAGGCATGTGACTTAACATTGCCAAACTTTAGTCTGTACTAGATTCTGTTTCTGTTAATATCCCATATTATCATCCCAGAACATCTTAATTTGAGGCCTACAATTTTAAAGTAAGCTGTATTAAATCCCTAACAACCTGCAAGAAATCATGCCCTTAGAACCATCTCTACTAGTGCCATAACGTTAGTTAAATAGGCTGGAACAGTAAGGTTCTTTCCAGGTGTCAGCTCATCTGATTTTAGATTAATAAAAGTGAGTAGGAAGTGGGAACAGCCACGGGAGCAGAGAGCAGGATGTTGACTTAAAGAGTAAGCCTATATATACCGTTATAAGTTACCCAAATGAGTCCTTTGAACCTTAATCTTACTTCTCTGGGGAGCCTCAGGCTTCAACTTAGGCCTTTTGATTTAAATGATCTTAAGACTTTAATGTCTGCTTCCTTCCTAGATGGTGTGGACTCAAAAGGGCACAGGGCTGCTGGATATGTTGCTTTTAAAACTGTAGTGGCTGTGGCTGCCTTAGCAGGCCTTGTGGCTGCTCTAGGTCTCATCATCTATCTGTGTAAGAAAAGAACCATGGTGTTAAATCACTAAGGATTTTCAAATAAAGTGTCTGTTAAAGTAAGCTGCTTGCTTGTACCTCATTAAACTTCAATGGAGTTCAAGGATTGTTTCTTGCTGTCAACTTGAAGAGGGAATATAGAACCTTTCCACAATCCTGATGGGCTTTGGCTGTGTAACGTGAATAAGGAAATTGAGGACTTAATTGCTTCCTGTTAAGCTTTTTCTGACCCCGCTGCCAAAACTGGCAGTGCCAGAAAATTCAACCAGCAGTGGGTCTTAGCTACAGCCCAGCTCTGGGGATGCCTTTAGGTAACTTTAGTCTTCTACCCTCCATTCATATATGCAAGGTGCAGAAACAAGAAGTCACCCTTAGTCATTGGCAGGATTTCCTTTCCCTAGAAGGGCAGGGTAACCAGGTGTTCCCAAGGAATTCATCTAGTGTTCTGCTTCAATTTTCCCTAACTCAAATTACTCTTTGAAAGAAACTTCCCCTGAGAACTTGAGGTATTCACTTACATTCTTCCTTGTACTCCTCATGCAATCTGAGACCAGTTATCTCCCTTAGGGCATGGAAAAGAATATAAGGTTCTAGTTTTCTTAGGGACAGTTAAAACATTCCCAGTCTCATTATGACTCCACAGCTGTACACCAGCCGTTTAGCTGAGCCTGGAGAGCTGCTTTCCCACTACCTACACTTGATTATTCCCTCCACTTGAGCCTTTTCCCTGAGGGTCCCCCATCTTCTATGCTGTAATTGTATTGAAAGAACCAGTGTTTGCTTCACACTGTAACTCTAACAGACTATCTTCAAGATAACTAATACAGAAAATAACTTGCTTGTATCCTTCAAATAGAAAACGGCTGACTCTAAACCAGAAACTTTCCTAGGAAAAGTCTTAAAGCTTTCAAATACCTATACATGGCTGGGAGGTTAAAACAGTCTTCAGTGTTCTTCAGTCTTCAACCCTTAACTGGTCGTAGTCTATATTCTGGCTTTTTAAAAACCTTCTTGAGGAAAGAATATTATATATGAATAGTGGATTCTTTTTCTTCCAATACACCTTTTTCATTCTACATCCTTTCATTAGATTTACGTGGTAGAACTTAGCGGCAATGAGGGGAAGGAAACCACTCACATTGTGTGAAAGATCTGGTCTTTCTAGAATGATAAAAGTCAAGGCTTCTAGACTGTAATAGTAGTCAAAAGTTCAAGTTATCTCATCAAAGCCATTATTTGGCTATTTCTTTACAAGGGAATATCATTTGCTAATGATAAAAAGTCTTGGAGTCAAGCTCTTCTGTGGTGGTCAAGTTAGTGTTACACATTACAACTAGAAACCTGGTATGTACTGGGCTTGTTAAAATGGCATTTAAAAGTTAGCCATTTGGGATGCCTGGATGGCTCAGCGGTTTAGCATCTGCCTTCGGCTCAGGGCATGATCCTGGGGTCCTCTCTCTCTCCCTTTCTGTGCCTCTCATGAATAAATAAAATATTTTTTAAAAAGTTGGCCACTTAAGAAGCTTCCTGATCCACTGTGGTAGGCCGAATAATGGCAACCCCAACAGATCCATATCCTATCCCCCAGAATCTGAATATTATCTCTACATAGTCCCAAATGGACTTTGCAGATGCGGCTAAGGACCTTGACATGGAGATATTATCCACTAAGGCCCGATCACATGGGTCCTTATAAAAAGGACAGAAGGATCAGAGTCAGAAGTCCCAATGGAAGCAGAAATCAGAGTGCTGTGGGCCACAAGCCACAGAATATGGTCAGTCTCTATTAGCTGGGGATGGCAAGGAAATGGATCTCCCCTAAAGACCCACGGAACTTTAGCCCCTGCTGCCCCATTTGGGACTTCTGAATTCCAGAGTTATAAAATAACCTGTGTTTTAAGCCACTAAATTTGTATTAATTTGTTCCAACAACAATAGGAAATAATCTCTAATCAGTCCCTGCTGACAACACTTTGATAGAGCTGCACACATTTTACACAGAAGAGCAACTTAAGCCCTAGGATAGCTTGTCCAAGATCTATCTTGAGGATGGAGCTGGAGCTTCTCATCTCTAAGTTGTTCTGTTTGTGTAGTGTCATAGGTCAGGATCAAAGTGACCTGGCCTCCAGGCTGCCCCCACAGCAGGCATGGTTCTGATGTTTGCCACAAATGCTAGAACTGAGAGAAAAGCTAAGCTAGCTGTGGAGCAGCTGCTGGGATGAACACTTGTTGCCATGGTAGCCTGGCACAGGTACAAGGAGTGATTGACTAAAGTCATGTTCTTAACTGAAGGTACACATCCTACTGTACATGGGGGAGGCAGCCTCACTGTGTGTGGAAAGAGTGAGTGTTGGATAAAGCTATGTGCTAGAAGAGAGATTCTTAATCAGGCATACATATTTTGAAAAATATGTCATGTCCTGACCCCACCTACTAAACTAGAATCTTTGGAGGGGGATTTAACATGTTTAGGCTCTGTGGGAGGCCAAAGAATGGCCCCAAAATATCTATGTCCTAATCTCAGAAACCTGTGAAGATTACCTTCCATGGGAAGAGGGACTTTGCATACATGATTAATTTAAAAGTCCTGAATGGGGAGATTATCTGGATTATCCAGGTAGGCCCTAACTGCAATCACAGGGATCCCTATAAGAGAAAGGGTGAGATCTGACCACAGAAACAATAAGGCAGTGTGACAATGGCAGCAGGAACTGGAGTGATGCAGTGTGAGGCCAAAGGAGGGGCTACCAGCTAAGGAAAACATAGACACCAGAACCTAAAGGAGTCCAGAAAAAGGACTCTCCCCTAGAGCCTCCAGAAGGAACCAGCCTCACTGGCACCTTGACTTTAGCACAGTGAAATTGATTGCAAACTTCTGACCCCCAGAATAAATCAGTCATTTTTAAGCTACTGAGAGCTTGTGGTAGTTTGTTATAGCAGCAAGAGGAAACTGATACAAGCTCCTCCAGTGATTCAGACATACACCCCTGGGTAAGAATCACTGTATTAGACAAAGGCAGAGGCCGGCAAACTTTGTCACAGACAATGTGTTACAAACAGACATTGTTGCTTATACACAGGAACTAAGAACAAGGGAGCAGTTTATTGTTTCAAGGACTTGGTGGATTCAAGTTGCAACTAGCTTCATTTCTAACCCATAGAATATTCTGGTGGAATTGAGGAATTACTGAGAACACAAGTCCATCCTGAGATGGGAATTGAAGTTGGAAGCCACTGAAGTACCAGAATGTGGATTACCTTTGATGGCGGTCACTACTGTGCCTATAAGCAGAGAATCCATGGAGTTAGCATTGCTTCTCGCTTGAAGGAGGTGGTGCATGAAGTGGGAAGCTACCTCACTGTGGACAGGACAGCAGGGCAGCAGAAAGTAGAACATGCAGTGCCTGGCATATCCACACTCTTGATCAGAGCAGCTTCCACTTGCTGAGTCAATGGACTCCAGTGGACTCCAGTGTATGGGTTGGATTATTAGGTAGTTTAAGTACTGCTTCTCTTGAGAGTAGATGTCCTGCCAGAGGTTAGAGTTCCAGCTAACTTCTCCATGGCCCTGACCTTGGATCACACAACATTCAACGAACCTTGCTTTGTGAGTAAACACAACTAAAACACTCAGTGCACCAGGACTGATGGTGTAGAGTAGGCTGCACCTTTTCTTCCCCCTTTCTTCTCCTGTGATATTGTGATTTACAGTGAAAAATAGATATTTGGTCTTTGAGCCATCTAGCACACAGCTCCTAAAACCCTGGGAATTTCTGAAGTGTTGGAGCTATTAAGGAGCCTTTTGTTACATTATTAAAGAACTTTGGGAAACCACCAGATAACCTAGGGGAGGGGGCTGGTTGCCAGGGAAACCAATCTTGAATAGAGGGTAGGAACTTTCAGTCTCACTCCCTTGACTTCTAGAACTTGGCCAGTGACTTAACCAATCACGCCTACATAATGAAGCTTCCATTAAAACCTAAAAGCAGAGGGTTCAGAGAGCTTCCAGGTTGGAAGACACAGGGAGATTTGGGGAGAGTGGTGCTTTCAGAAAGGATGTGGAAGTTCCTTGTCCTTTCACCATCCCTATCCATTTCTTCCATCGGGCAGTTCCCGAGTTACATCCTTTAATAATAAACCAGTGATCTAGTAAGCACACTGTTTCTCTGAGTTCTGTGAGACACTCTAGTAACTCTAGCAAATCAATCAAACCCAAGGAGGGTGTCATCAGAACCTCCCATCTGTAGCCAGACCATCAGAAGCACAGGTAACCACCTGGACTTGTGACTGGCAACCGAAGCTGGGTGCTATCTCCAGGTAGATAGTGACAGAATTGAGTTGAATTGTTGGACACCGAGATGGTGCCAGAGAATTTCTTGGTGTGGGGAAATCCCCATACACATTGGAATTGGATCCCAGAATCCTCGTTCTCTCCCATCCCCATCTTCCCTAATAAAAGAACTTGGACTCTGTTCTGGAATGGCACAGTATATCCCTAGGGATATACCCTGATTGGGCTAAATAATCCAGATTAAAGCTCAATCCCCTTGCAGACCAGCTACCAGCAGGCATATGGTTCTGTTCAATGAAATCGAAAGGGGTATTAGAAAGGGGGTATCTGTCTTTTTCTTCTTTGTTTTTTTAAAAAAAGAAAAAAGCATGTAAGTCTAACTCCTTTTCTTTCTGCTTGTGGATGTGGTTGTGTGACATTGTGATTCTTTGAGCTGTGACAGCCATTTTGTGACCATGTGGAAACAAGCCTAATGATGCTATTTGAGAATGGTAGAGTAAAACATGGAAAACCTAGATTCCTAATTACTTTATTGTGCTTCCTGAATCAACCCTGAAATCACTTGCATCTTGCTAAAAAGAAAACCACAGGCCCCCAAAGGGAGTAACTCATACAAGGCCAATTCATCAAACCAGAGCTTAATACTTAATCTAACTGCAATTAGATTAAGTATTTCCCCCAGAAATGAAGTCTTAACTGATCAGTCAGGACTTTTCTAGTCAGCATCAATGAGGTAATCTG